CTATAGCCGAGGTACACTCTGTTTACTATAAAAGAGAATGTTAACCGGCCAACATTACATTTTTGTGTCTGTATACTAACAATATATTATATATGATATATATTTCCCAATAAAAAGTCATGTCAAAGGAAGGTCTTGTAGTTGGTAACCCTAGATTTGCGGAAGGTCTTGCAAGACCATAGCTGCCTGATGACCAAGGGTCAATGCCTTATTTTGCAAATTGAGGGTTTCTATATATCCACAAACATCCATAGCATGTACACTACTTTCCTGTCTGGAGATAACTATGCTATAGTGTGCCCACTCAAATGTCTTGCGTGCAAATGGAAAGTTCTTTGTGTACGTTGTCAGAATTTCACGTAACGCAAACGCTTAACATACGTGACGCGAATGTGACAAGCAAATTGTTAAAAGCAAGTTTATCTCCAGTTTTACAATCCCACAATTGAATGTACATTATATAAATGCTTAAATCCCTGTTGTGTTACATGTTATACTTCTGCAGAAGTTGGAGATGACCCAAAATACTGTAAGTGCACACAATCTAAAGCTCCCTATTGAGTTAAGTGAGTATCACCTATAGGAAGTAGTGACTCAGTGAATGAAGGAGAGATAACTTTACCTACCTGCATAATAACATAACATTAGGAATAAGTTGAAAAAGTTTATTTTGGCCATCCGGGGGAATTGACAGTCACATTTTTTGAGATTTCTCTCTCAATTGGAATATTTACATTCCTGTGTGAGTATAATAACAATACCGATGAGTATCTAGACTCAAATGACTCTCTTTTTGTCCTGAAATAATAAACAGTCCGTGGCTCCACAAACAATCATGGATTCAGCTTCCATCCCCACAGTGATGACTGGCAGGCCACTTGTTTTTGGTTTACTTTTAGTTAGTTTGCTCTCCCTAAGAGACACTGACTTTCCCCAGAGCCACCAAGAGCAGTTTGTAAAAGAATGCAAAATCATTTTTGTTGCTGTCTGGAACAACAGTCTAATTTTATAGAGTTATCGTCACAGATTAATTTGTTGTGTAAATCCTCGTTTAATTCAATATTTGTCCCTTCCTTTCAGTTGTGATCCCCCCTGTGGTTTGGCTTTGCTTCAGATTCATGCATCTAAAGAATGGCGTATGTGTTTGATGGAGGATGCGTCTTTTGTGGGATCATTTGTTTGATTCTCATCAAACAAACACTTTCCAGTGAAGGACTCTGTGGTGGCGGGGGGTTGAGGGTTCGGGGCTAATGTGGATTAGGTTAAACAGACCCATTAAAACATGAAAGCTTGTTGATAGCTGATGTGGGAGTATCAGACATCTCCTCTTAGAGACCAGAGGCTTTAGGGTATCGAGCCTGTGCGCGCGAGCATGTGGAAATAAATCGATAGCGTTGAGAGAAGGCTGGTTTCTATTACCTGTTTAATTAACCTCCATCAAACAAACATGATAGCACCTTGAGATCACTTAGATTATGGTCCTTCAGATATACACACACCTTTAAACACACACACACACACACACACACAGGGAGTAAGGGAGGGAGATTTCACAAGGGTCACTTTTACTTTATATGTAAAATAAAGGTGAATCAAGGTCACTAAAGCAGATAAGAAAACAAATGCATTGAGACAGATAGCAGGCTCTTTAATTAACCTTGTTCTATGACCTTTGAGAATTTAAAAAAAGGTAACAAATGAGGCCAATTAGGTGGGATTAAAGTTTGATTTATCTAATTTAAGTCTATACTAATGAACATTTTAATTTCCATTTGTTTGGGTAATGAAATCTTGTGCTGCCATTGACACCATGGCACAGAGTGTGGCACAAATCATTGTTTCTGTCTGTTACAAAGCTTCTGGGCAGCTATTGTCTTCTGTCACAATCTGACTAGTCGTATAACAAAAATATTCTGGTTGAAATCAAAATGTTTATGCAGATGATGACTTGTCAACGCCGAACCAAAACAAGCTGCAGCTGGGAAAGAGCAACATGGCCGCCGTCAGCGTCTGACAGACAGCTGTGAGGTGTGTGTGTGAGTGTGTGAAGAAGTGTCTGTCCTCTTTCTCACTCTCTCTCTGGCATGATTACATAAGAGGCGATCTGCAGTGAAATCTGTTTGTGTTGTGTTTGTACAGTATGCGCAGGCAATTGAAAGCAAGTCTGTGTGGAGTTTGACCTAGAAACGTCGAAAAAGTCTCTCATGGCTTCATTAGGGGCATAAACTGAATCCATAACCTTCAGATTATTTCCATACTCACTCACTGTGTGTGTGTGAGTGTGTTTCAGTGCTGTTGTTTTGCTCACTTTTTTAATGTTTGAATATATTATGTTATACCCACCTTATTTATTCATGTCATCTCTCTTTTTTACCTCTAACTTTTTTTTCTTTATCATTCTCGCCTATAGGGTTGCAAAGAAGTAGGAGCTGTGTCTGAAAGTATCTTTTCCCCTATATATTTTCATTTCAAAAGGTTTTTTCTTTAGTGATGTGTTTGACAACCTATTGCACGAACCAAACGTGGCATACAGACAGAAGAAGCTGTCAAGGTGCAGTTGCTGATTATATGCCAAATTGGGGTTAGACTATAATAAGATGTCTGCTTTTTTTCAGAGTAGGAGTGTGTTGACACTCCACATGCATTTGGTTATGCATCTTGATTCGTGTGCAAGGTTACAAAAAACAATGCATGCTGGTGTTTTTAAGTCGGACACTCCCAATTCAGCGGCAAAATATTTGTATTGTAATTGCCCTCAAAGCGATACACATATAAGCATGCCATTTTGTGATCAGTCATCTCCATTAGCACAATGAAAAAATGAGTCAGTGCTTTCCAAAACAATGCGGTTTGAAAGTATCTAGGATGTCAACGGTTTGGTCGGGTTTAGCCACAATAACAACTTGGTTACTATTATAAAATAATGTAGTTTTAAGTTTAATTTTTCTTTATTATTATAAGGGTAAGTACGGTGGCCCTGAAGTGCAAGTCAAAACAGCATTTCAGGAAACACCACAGCATTTCACAAAACACTACAGCAGTGGTTCTCAAAGTGGGGGGCGCAGAGGCATGACAGGGGGGTCGCGAGAGACCAGGAGGAAAAATTGTTATTAAAAAAAAAAAATCATAATTTGAAAAATGTGATTCGAAAATAATATGAGACAGAACTATTACGTCTGGGTCTCTGTGTTTCATTGAAGCTCGGCTCTGTGTGTGTGTGTGTGTGTGTGTGTGTGTGTGTGTGTGTGTGTGTGTGTGTGTGTGTGTGTGTGTGTGTGTGTGTGTGTGCGCGCGCGCGTGCGCGTTTGATGCTCTTCTTGTGTCTTCAATATATGTGTGTGTACAAGCAGCTTTAGGAGAACAATGCGGATGATTTACATGGAGCCTTGCTTTCTCCTCCTCCTCCTCCTCCTCCTCATCCTCCTCTTCCTCATCCTTCCTCTATTTCCGTTACCATTCGTTCTCCTCCTCCTCACTTTTATCCTGCCTTCACTTTGGGGAGTTCATCCAAAGGTGAACTCTTGGCAAAAAAAACATGTTTCCCCCCCTCCTGAAATCTCAAATATTCTCTTTTTGTGTCAGGAATACCGACACCAGCCTTGACGTGATATCCCCGAGCAAAGAGCTGTGTTTGCCAGTCCAGGTTTCATCATCCGTCTTCTTTTTTTAGAAAATATGCTGAAATGAAGACTGTGGGTTTTAAATCCTGCCTGCTGTGTTGTTGATGCCCTACTTCTCTGCGCAGTTCTCTGTATCAGTCTTCTCCGTACAATGGATAAATGAATAAAATGCTGACAGGTGAACTTCATTTAACTGGTGTGAGAAAAAAAAATCTCAAATTTGGCACCCAAGCTATCATCTGCACAGTGAATTGTTCCCTTTTTGGATTGAAACCTGTCTGTTTAAACATGAAACAGGTGGTCATTTACTTGTGTCGAATTCACTATTATGCATCCAGGTGACATATATCACTTAATGACATAATAACATGAGTGCATTCTGAACATTATCATGCACAATAGAAAAATATGTTGTGAAAACATGTTCACCTTTAAACAAAAGAAAAAAACAGCATGTGTCATATAAGTCAAATAGAATAACAATTACTGTTAATGAGGAGTGTTTATGTTTGTACATTAATGTAGTCTTTTGTTAAACTAGGATGACTACTAGTGGCAAAGTGCTGAGATAGCAGGAAAGTTGCTGGTGTTTGGAGGAGATCTTTCCTGTTTAATGTAGAAGGAAATGCTGCCATCTAATGGACACATAATGCAAATGACAGATACAGAGGAATGTTATGTGTAAAGCATGATATGTTTGGACAGTCTCATGCTGAGAAATAAAAGAAAACATTGTTTTGCATTTGGGAAACTAAAAAAAGTCATACTAAAAAGACTGTATCCCATGGATTCATGGAAAGCACGTTCCTATGCTAAGGAATAAAAGATCTTGCGAAATAATCTTTATCCCCATGGATGTGTATAAAACTTGACTAATAATTTAAATGATGTTATTTTATGCCCCTCAAGTTGTTATTGTAAGACACGTTGATACATAATACTGTTTGTGGACATTGTGGACAATAACCTGCAATACAAATATTATTTAAATCATTTAAAAATGAATCTCAATAACCTTTATCATCAAACAGGAAAGTTCATGAAAACACTATGGATTTTCTTTTTTTAAATGACTTCCCCTGTGAAAATAAAACAAAAAACATATTTACTTCGGATTGAACCCAACATAATAAAACATATGCATGTTTTGTATAATAAATAAATGGGTTTAAATTCAAAATCGTTTTTTTTTAATTTATACAATTTTCTGCACATAACATATAATTTTTGTTGGAAATAATTATTATGCCAGCTCTCTCTCCTCTGTAGCTGCACACTGCTCCTAGTACTAGACTCCTGGTACTAGGATGGGTTAAAAGCAGACAACACATTTCACTGTGTGTGCTGTGTGCTCTGCATGTGTGACCATTAAAGAGGGTTTCATCCCCCCCAATTCTTCTTCTCCCCCCCCCCTGACACGGAGCCTGGCTCCTGGATGTGGAGCCTCCTGTCTGGATCCAGGCAGGAGACGGCTTCAGAGGCGGCTCCTTCAGGCAGGTCTGACTCCTGAGTGAACTCCTGGCGTCTCTAAGAGCAGCAGCCTTCCCCGTCCTCCTGCTTTTTCTCCGTCTTCCCGCTGACTCTCAGCTTGCGGCCCAGCTCCTCTGGAGAAAAGCCTTGAGTGTCCAGAGTCAGGCACCCCCTCTTTCTGCAGATAGTAGGACACTGCAGGTTTCTCACTGGTGTGGAAAGGCTCTTCCAGAATGTCAGTTTGAAGTTTGTCCATTAGGCTGTGGAGCTCCTGTAGGTTTCTCTGCAGTAGATCCTGCTGCTGAAGCAGAGGGTTGACCTCTGACCTCAGATCAGGCCAGTAGAAGTCTGTGAATGGACTGAGGGCAGACTGGAATCCAGGGGAGCACAGCATCTTCAGAGCTTGGCCGGTGTCAGTCCTCATTTGTTTTCTCCTCTGTGTTTCTTTCTCTCTCTGCAGTGGGACTCTCAGCTTTTATATCCTAACAGGAGGAGCTCCAGAGACATTACCACAGCTCTCCACTGGGTGGAGCTGTTACCCAGGAGTGCCGAAGTCAATGGGTCTTTCCTGTGTCTTCATGTACTTTCCTGCATTTGCAAGAGATCACCACAAGATGCCCCTCAAACTCTTGCCATTAGACGTACATGTATTTAACCAAAGTGCAGTAATCATATCATACCTCGTAATGGTTTCTCAATTTAATAAAAGTTAGTTTGGTTTTTATGTCCAGTTTGTCAAGAGACAACTTATTTAGCCAAAAAAACTAATAGTAGTAGAATAGCAGAACGGCTACCAGTATGGATATTATTGTAAACAGCACAGTTTTCAAATGTGGATTAATTTCATCATTATTACATCCATTTCCTTATTAGGGTTCAGCAACTCCGTAGTCTTCCTCCTAGTCCTTAGATACATTTATCTTCATCGGAAACCACATTACTCTGAAACCACTGTCTGCTTATTAGAATCAAAATCAATGATAGAGGCCAGACAGGAAGAAACTGTAATACAATAAATAGAGAACAGAAGAGAACAGAAGATTGATGATCGCTAAGTTGTTAAATTCCTCCCCAGTCACACATAGTGTGTTATCTGTTTGTTGTGTGTTTTTCAGCCACATGCAAATCAGTTGAATGCAGCTCATCTGGGAACAAGCTTGAATTGGAGTTTGAAACTTTATTACATCCAATATCTTTGTAAAAGCTACTCACACAATTGTGCATTTCATTAGTCTGCTAAGTAAATATTCATTTCAATGTGGTTTGCAATGCAGGCTGCTTTTGTGTGCCTTAAAAGTTTTCCCTTTATTGTGACTGCATGCCTGCCTTTTTAAATATATGTTGATGGTCAGAGGATTTTAAATCGTGTTGCAACAACAATATACTTAAATTCAAACATCGTAATTCAAAAATATTTAATCTATAAATAAATAGTCAACTGGATAAAATATCAACAGTCAGTCAAATTATAATAAAACACAATTTAAAATACAAAAGTGAAAAAACAAGCACCCCCCCTTTTTTATATTCAGCAACGTGTCAGAAGTTAACTTGCCTTTCATTGTTACATAACATAATATGTTAACAAAAAACAAGAGAAAAACCAAATGAATTTATGTTGACCGGGTAAGATGTCACATAGTATGTCACAAGTATTCACTTTAAACATTATGAAACAATATGTAAGGACATTACATTACATGTCTTATGTATTAAGTAGTAAATACAACTTTTAGATTAAAATGGGTAAATATACATAATGCAAAAGTAGCATGATCACTCTCTTAATGAATGAAACGTCCATAAAATAAAAGTAACCTTTGAGGTAGATCAGTCTGCTACTCAGTACTCCGTAACTCTTAGGAGGAAAGGTTCATTGAATGTGACCTTAGGAACTGCCATCTTTTAGTCACATGTACATTTTGGAAATGCAAGGGGTGGCAGCCTCCATCCTGTAGTCAATGAGTCTCATTTGGCAGGCAAATGAGCCTCAGCAACGAACTGGATGTCTCTGGAGCTTCTTCCATAGTGTCAGCATGTCTTTGGGACTCCGTCTGTGGACGAGCAGAACAGATCTGTAAGCGCAGGGATTCCACCTGTCGTTATGAGGGAGGTCGAATGTCAAAAATCCCGGGTGATGGCTTGGCAAAAGGCCGAGTCTGTACATGCACATGCCCAGATACACATCGTCTATTGGGAAAAGGCGCACCCTCTTAGAAACCTCGTTCAATCTTAATGCTAGAGAGACAGAATACACCACCCCTCCCCCACCGGCGTACGGTGGGTATACACCTTTGTAGAAACTTTCTGGTATGTAGTACTTAGTGGATGGCTCACGGTTTGGCATCGCGTAATTGATCACCTCCCCAACAAACAAATTCATTTCAGTCTCATTTGTATATGCTTTCCACAGGTTGTGCTCCTCCCACTGCTTGTGCAGGTAATCCAGAAGAGCGCCTGTTCGAACAAAGACATCATCGTCCCCTTTGAACACGAACATGGCACTGCGGCAGTGTTGCTGGAGCCATTGCCAGAACAGCAAATCCTTTAGGGTCAAGTTAAAGAACGTGTCTTTGAAATCCCACTGTAGGATATCTCCATATTTCTGGTTTTCAAGTTCCAGGAGGTTTCTGAGGTCTGGGTGAGGACCTGTACTCAAGTTCTGCCTTGCCAACAGAAACACTGTGCGCACCAATCCGCCCTTCTCCGTTGATTCCCCTTTGACCAGACCACTGCGTCCCCAGGTTTCCCGGATGGCCTGCCTGTTTTCAAAGTTCCCCACTTGAGATTTGATGGCCATGAGAAGCATTGGTCCAAAGCTGCTATCGTTGTTCCTACAGATACCAGGTTGATTGATAAGGAGAGGATACTCCCTGCAGTGCATTGACTGTACAAACACCCTCATTTGTTCTGGGAAACTGTTGAAATTGTGCATACGAGGAACAGAACACTTGTGTGACATGCAGTCAGAAACACATTCATCTTCGTTTTCTGCTAATAGCTTAGCGCTCATGATCCCCGTTTTGTTTCCTCGCAGTACTGGGTTGTGCTGGCGGTCCCAAGAATGCTGCAACTGGTTCCACAGTGCACTGTCCTCCAGACGAAGGTTCCAGAAAGGGCCACGTGGGTGGGAGGCCAACCCAGAGTTAGCAGAAATCCCAGAGGCAATATAGTGGACGTTTATTTTTGGAGGACTGTAGGATATGGTGACCAAAATGGACACCAAGATATAAAGCAGAAGGTGGGCGGTCATCATGCATGGCAGCAGGCACATGCACAGCAGTCTCCCGTTGCATCTGCAGTATTTGCAGTATCTGCCCATTGCCAATATGCAAATCAGACACGCACCTGCACAAACAATAACACATTGTATTAAATTATAGCAGAGCAAACGTTTAAATACCACTAAGCACAGACCACTGAGATGACATTTGTGTACTTGAGAGATTTTTCTAAAAGCCAACAAAGCAAGAAACCCTCTAGTGTTTCTGTCTCCTTGGTGATGGTCCAGAGAGGGTTATTATCTGCTCCTGTCTACACACTCAAGAGCATCCTCCCGTGCCTACCGACCACACAGCCCCTGTAGACACAGTGTGGAACATGTAATACGCAACAGTGGATAAACTCCTTTCTTTAGCACTAAAAGTTGAGTACACAACGCTTAAAAAAAGATCCAGAGGGCTTTGATAAACAATTTCTTCATAAGACCTTTGCCAATATTCTAAATGCCCTAACCCATTGCATGCACAATATTGAGAATAGCCTTACAGTATGCTGTTTCTTTATAGACAACATATAGCAAAAACGTCCAATCATTTTGTTTGTCAAGTCAAATGATTCTACTATATACTTATATAGACTTACGTAACTTTTTGGGAAACATTTACAAATGTAGGCACTGGTTAAAAGCACATTTTTACTTACAAGTGTATGAACTGCCGATTGAGATTAAAGACACAGTGACTTGTGGCGTCCACTTTTTGTTGTAGTGTTTTCATCCGGTATGGTTATAGTCTGGTTACGACGTGGCAGGTCTGTAGCTCATCATGTATGTCCATAGCGATGATAGATAGAGACTTGCATCCTTTAAATCCAACACAGGCGTCCTCTTTCCGCAGTACAGTCGCAGCTGAGCAACAGGTCCCAGGTGACAGTGCGCACAAAGCATTCGCCTCTTTTCTTGACGCCACATGTATGACAAGGGAATACTCACAGGAATAATGTAGTTTCTATGCTGTCACAGACAAGATGTGGATTTTCCACAGAGATAGACGTTGATTTTGCATGCAGGTGCTTCGGGCGCACGTTCGCATATTTGCATGGTATGGCATAATAATAGGAATCATTTTCAAGCAGTTTCAGGCGAATTAATAAATAAAGGAAATAGCAAATTATTAAATAATAAAACAAAAAACTAATCTGTAAAGAATTGGCAAAAGCCTGATTATTCTTTAAAATACTTTATTGACCAATGATTAAAAAAATCTATTACAGAAGTCAAGTATACAAATTACATTACTTTAATAAGATTTCGGTTTATCACCGTGGTGAAGTTAGTTTTAGTTTGGATATTCGACAGACCAGCCAGCAGCGTCAGTTTCCCCTGCTGCTGCTGGCTGTATTACGACGGCGAGATCTACTCCGCGAAATGAGACTTTCACTTATAGGGACCATCAACAAATGACTTTTCAATTACACAAGAACAATGTTCTTTTTAATAAATCAACGGCTTCCCGATCGCGTGAATGTGAAGCAAATCCACTCTAGTGCATAGGCTACATTTGAACACACCTTTTTTTATTGCATTTGAATACTTTAAATATGTTTTGTTTATATTTTGATGGAAAAATGTGCATATTTCTTCAATAACTTCTTGGTCATGTGACCTAATGACTCACAATCAGTGCTGGATAAAATAACTACACTGGCTGCATAGGACACACCTCTTTTATTTCATTTTCACCCTCTAAATATTTTTATATTAATATTGTTGATGGAAAAATGAGCTTATTTCTTCAATAACTTCCAGGTCATGTGACCTAATCACTAAAAATCTGTTCTGGACCAATAACTACACTGGCTACATAGGACACACCTCTTTTTATTGCAGTGTAATACTCAATCAATATTTTTATATTCATATTGTTGATGGAAACATTTGCATATTTCTTCAATAACTTCAAGGTCATGTGACGCAATCACTCAAAATCACTTTCTGAATTGAATACTAGTCTTTACACAATAGAGTGGTGTAGCGACGAGTCCTAAAACCCGGAAGTGAGTTAGCATTTTAGCACTACGGGTTCCCTTTTCTCAGAGTCAATTGGATTTCTCCATAGGAATGTGGAAAATATCTGGAAATAAGGTCTGTGGTTGACACAAATGTAAGAGACGGATCACGGTTTGTTCTACGACATTAAATACATCAGCAGTGACCCCACTGGTGATTTTTGAAGAGTTTTCGTGTCTGAAAAACGATGGTTGTTAACAAGTGGCTGAATATGAATACAGAAGTGGTGGAGGACGCTGTACGTCATTACACACGTAAACACTCCCGCTAAGTTTGTTTGCCCCTGTTCTCCTTGAAAGCAAGTACCTGCGCTCTTGCAAACTGTTAAAACAGACGCTTCAACTTGTACAATTTTGAATCTGTATTTTTGAAAATCCATCTTAACCTGTTAACCAGTTTAGCCCTGAGCCTGTTTTTCAGGTCTCAGGCTCGAAAATGACATCCCCAGAACAAATGACCATATCTTCCCTTCTAAGAGACCTGAAAAACAGGCTCAGGGCTAAACTGGTTAACAGGTTAAGATGGNGGCTACAGAGCTACTAGAAAGACAGTGGAACCCGGTGCATTTCTCCGTCTGGATGTGGAGCACTTTTGCTAAATGTTTAGACAAATTGCTAAACTCTTATTGCACTTTTGGTAACGAGCATTGTCCACATCGAGATGGGTAAAGTTTAACCACACCTCGGAGCGCGTTCTCTCCGCCATCTCTGTGTGTGTGTGCATGTGTGGCTGCATGAAGCAGCCGCGTGTGTGTAAACTGCCCCACCCCCTCGCAAGCAGGCGGGGGAGAGAGATCGAAAATACTAAAAATAATCATAGAAGCATTTTGCAGTCTTTTTGCGTATTAGAAACGGAGTTGGCGACACTAAGACTGTAATATAATGTTTGTGTAGCAATAATAAATTTTTTGTAGATGTCTCCAGTACCGATAAAAAGACTGATAATGTCGGAGTTTAACGGTACCACAGTCTTTAATAATTCAGCCCCGGGGCCCGTTTAATACCGGGGCTCGGTACCCATCCCTAGTTGCTACCATTTCCTATGACAATAGAGTGGTGCAGTTAAGAGTTCTAAACCCGGCAATGAGTTAGAAAATTAGCTCTTGTCCCTCGAGTTGAAGGCAGTTATTTGAATGACTTTCTGGTTAGATGCATGTAATACGATCTGTGGTTAAAAAAAAGCTAACGTGTGAATGTCTGAAGCTTCTATGCGTCTGAAAAATGGTTGTTGCTAACAGGTGACTAAATTTCGATTGCGCCAAACATTAGCCGCCTTTAGCTAAGCAGGGACATTGACGTGGAATCATGCAAGCGTGATGTTGTTTGTTTACAGCTTTAGCCTAATACTTCTGGGGATTGCATTTACGCTACAGCCCTTAAAAAAGTGTTGTGTCATTAACGTGTAAGTGTCATGGCCACAAAGCTTTTCATTGTTCTGAATCGAGTGGGAAAATCACATTGCTTTTCTTCAGAGGGAATCCTTGCGATGCCAACTTCCGGGTCGGCGAACAAAAATACGATGGTCCAGAACCAGTCTATGACCATGTTGTGTGTGTATTATCATGTAAAAACAGAGCCAGGGAAGATAGATGTACCGGTTGTGTGTCTCACCTGGGTATGGTGACACACTTTGTGTTGCTGTTCTGCGTGCTGATGGCTTTCTCCAGCTCATCCAGCTGCCCCGTCTTCTTCAGCTTCTTCACCAAGCTCTTCACGGCCTTCTCACACCACTTCTCCTCCTGCCCTCCTCCGTTATGCTCCCCTACTCCTCCGATGCCTCCTCCTGCTCCTCCACTCCCTGTAGGAGTCTTCTTCCATCCCAGGAGGCGCTTCACTACCGGGGGAGTGAAGGGAAGGATGGAGGACATGGTGGCTATGTGTGTGTGTTTGAAATGTGTTTTGATGCCCCTTTTAATCTGACGTAAAGAGAAAAGGGAGAGGGGAAGTAGGCGTCCTACTGGATATTTTTATTTATGTCCTTCTTTTAGTCCGAACTAAGGCATTGGTCTTGAGGAGTCTTGGGAAACATCACATGGTAAGTGTGCGGTGAGTACATCTAAAGAAACCTAAGAAACAGAGGGGAGGAAAGAGAAAGGACACATCAACGTTTGTGAACACAAACAGTAAGATGGTTCGGAAGATGAAAAGTCTTATTGCATAACATTATCTTCTGAAGTGATGACATGAATTATGCCCACACATCTAGACTCCTGAACAGCTTTCTTTGCCCAGAGTGATATCCGTCATAGCCCCCCTGCTGCTACCTCTCCCACCATGTACGACCTGTATGCTGTACTGTAAGAACTACAATCTAGTATTGTGCAATAGTCTTTGGTGCTTTTCAATCATAACAACAATATTTAGTTATATCTTTCCACCTTGCAAAACCATTTGAACTTTTACGTACTTTAAAAACAGAACCATTTTTAAGGATGGCATTTTTTGGACTGGCCAATAGTTGCCTACATACTGTGTATCTTACCAGAAGTAGGATACATTTAAAAATATACATGCCTCGAGTTGAGTCACTATATTTATGAGGGGGTTTATGTAGCATAATTATCGCAAAATCTTTCTTTGCATTAGAGTATTGATATACAGACGCGTATAAATTGATATATAAAAACAGATGTTCAAAGTAGTAATTTAAACGCAATATACGTTCTCAATACTGAGCATTTAACAACACGTTAAACATCATTGTGACTTACATATTGTGATAACATTGTTTCATGAGGCCTCAACGCTATTATTATTATTATTATAAATACATAGAAATAAATTAGAAAGACTTAAGATAGTCTCAACCTAAATAAAATGTTATATTTATAGGCCTGTATTGAACGTATAAAGTAACAATTCTGATAACTTTCATGATAGCTATACAAAAACAAGTAATCCATCACCATATATTCCAGACTATGAAGGCCAGTTACTAACTCATCAAAAACTCATTTGAAAACAATCTTAGTATCTTAATAATTATTGATTTCACTCCGAATGGCAGGCAGTGGATGACCCTGTGCTACATTGTATCGCTTCTTTATTTTGTCAACCTTAAAACAACTCAACTAAAGCATCTTCTTTTCTACAGAGAGGAGAGGAATGTATGTATGAGGTGACAGAGCTATGTCGATATCTGGACTAATCCTATGCTAATCCTGTAGTAAACCCTTATATTGAAACCAACCAGTGTTTCCCCTCACACAAAAGCCGAGCGAACTGTGATAAACCCAGGTCAGGAGCAGGTGAACCATCTAAAGATTTACATCCAAATTAGTAAGGCAACTGTGCTGAAAAAAAAACTAAAAATGTTGAATTCAGAGGCCACAACAGACAGGAAATAGTTGGAAATTGGCACCGACCCAAGATCTGGTTTGCCTATGTAACCTTATCCTATTTTATAGCAATGCATGGATCCATTTTTTTTAAACTTATCAGGAAACAGATGCTCTGACAGGGCAAATACAGGAGGGAAATAAAGAGAACACTTTAATTGAACAGTCAAATCCAATTTGAAAACATTGACCGTAGGTTCTCCTAAGGAAGAAACACTGTGCACCATTTTATTCTAATCTATTCTACTCCGTTTCTTCTTGCACTTATTTTATTATATATTTTTGTTGTTGTATTGTTTATGTCCTATATAACTATGTTGCAATGTTGGAGGAGCTTGGGAATTAAGATTTGCATTGCCATTCCTACACTGCAGCTACTGTGCATGTGGCAATAAAGCCTTCAATCCTTGAAAAAAAGGGTGTTGTGTGTATATTAGCAAAGCAGATTATTGTTTGATTGACTTAAATAAAACAAACGGTGTTGCAGATATTTAAATTTAGCTCTCTGGGCGGAAATGGATAACTGTTCTTAGCATGTTACGCCGAAAGTCCAAGCTCCTTCTAAGAATTTATTTCACAGGCTTAACCCTTGGACTGCTTACTATTAGTGCAAGAGTATGTATGGCTTCCAGAATGACTCACACGATTCCTGAAAATAATTAACTACAATCTTAATTACCTGCAGTTGCTTTTTATTGTCAAAACATTCAAGCCTGCTGTCCATTAACTGCTTCAGGGAGAAGGCTTTGATGCCAGAATCAAAGAAGGCTGGAAAAACATAAGTTAAAAGCTCTACGTTTGAACCCTAATTGGGGTCATTGAAAAGTGATTGTGTTGCTAAACATAAAATAAGGAGTGTTATTATTCCTTTTTGCTAAGGGTTGATACACAAAGAAGGGGAAAAAACTCCTAAAACAACAAAAAAGGGGGTCCCAGAGACAAAACCATGTCGTGTGTGGGAGCCGTTCAAACTGAACAGAATGTCTTCATAATGTAAGGAACAAAAAGCACAAAACGTGCTCTTGTTGCCACAATGTCGCCGATTTGTCTGCTCAAAATGCTGGACCACCGTTATCAAGGCCTTGTGGGCAAAATAAGCAACGTTATTTTGTCTGCACGGTCTTGCTTTTTGTGTGAGAAACGGTGTGTTTGGGTTACTTCTTCTCCCAAACCATACACATAACACACACACGGCTTAAGAATAAGCTAACGCTACTAGCGGCGATTCAACTAATCAGCCAGCGCATGGAGACTTTGACAATCTACAAAAAAAGCGAGTTCATTTCACTCCCTTGTGACATATGCTGTGAGCTACAGTGAAAATATGCAGGTTTCTTTTGTCTCGAAATGACTGATAGCCCCCCTCATATCTCCTCCTCCCCTCGCCTCCAAAAAAGAGTGCAAAAAAAAATCCGCTAGCAAGCTTGCTACTTTGTGTCACAGACAAATAAACAGCTCTGTTGCATGTTTTGTCGCTTACAAATCATATCGGTTTCTTTGTTAAACACACACTCACCCCACGAGGAGATGAAGGGGTGCCAAACGGTGACTCAGGTACCTGTCAGAAAAGCCTGCTTGTTCATTTAAAACACATTCAGAGACACTTTAAACTGTATTTTCCACCTCCGAGCCGCCGGGATGATGGCCCCTCATTCAAAGCTCAACCAAACATGTATCGCTTCACGCTAAACATGAACTGCAGCACGACGCCACCATATCCCGCCTCCTCCCGCTTCCTATTGGCTGTTTCCCGGGGTTCAGCAGATAACCTGTTGCCAGACGCGTGTTCTATTGGCTTGAACTCGTGTCTTTTATATGTTGTCACGTACGAAGGTATGTCGGTGATGTTTATCATTGGGTACCTTCATTATCCTTTTATAATTGCATAACAATGTAGTTAGTCCATAGAATAGAATAAAATGTAATACAACCAAGAAAATGCCTTCTTTAAAAACTCGTTGGACTTGAACGTAAAGTGAAAAGATTTAGCTTGAAAACACAACCAAGACTGTGGTAATTATGACAAACAAGATAACCGGTGAAGTTAGTTTAAGGTTGGATATTCGACAGACATTTGCGGACCAGCCAGCAGCGTCAGTTTCCCCTGCTGAGGCTTTCACTTAGGGACCATCAACAAATTACTTTTCAATTGCACAAGAACAATGTTCTTTTGAATAGATCGACAGCTTCCCGATCGGGTGAATATGAAACAAATCCAAAATCATTTGTTGAACACACCTATTTTGATTGCATTTTAATACTTAAAATATTTTTATATTAATATTTTGTATGGGAAAATTATCATATTGCTTCAATAACTTCCAGGTCATGTAACCTAATCACTCAAAATCAGGGCCTGGTCAAATAACTACACTTGCTGCATAGGACACACTTATTTTAATTGCATTTGAATACTTTAAATATTTTATATTCATATTTTGATGGAAAAATTTGCTTTTTTCTTTAATAACTTCCAGGTCATGTGACATAATCACTCAAATTCAGGGCCTGGTCAAATAACTACACTTGCTGCATAGAACACATCTATTTTAATTGCATTGTAATACTCTAAATATTTTTATATTAATAATCTTATGGGGAAATGAGCATATTGCTTCAATAGAGACCTACATATATGTTTTGCCCGTTACCCAACTCTATTGCGGGTTATCCACCGGGTATCCGAGGAAACCTGACCCGGTGCAGGATTCTGCTCTGGGGCTCATCAAAGTAATTTTTGTAACAGTACCTGCTTGACGCACCTCAGTCCGGACTCCGCGTCGGTCTTCACCCCAGATGACCAGAAGGTGATTTGAAGACATTCGGTCACATGACAGAGAAGCTGTTGAAAAAAAAAAAAGCTGAATTTTCCGTTTAAATATTTATATTAAATAGAGGAAGTACTAGAATCCAATCTAAAGAGCTGTGTAGTAGGCTATACCATTCAAAAAGTGATTTGAAGACATTCGGTCACATGACAGAGAAGCCATTCAAAAAAGAAACGGAATATTCCATACAAATATTAATATTAAATAGAGGAAGTACTAGAATCCAATATAAAGAGGTGTGTCAATAGAGTGGTCCAGTGGGTGGGGAACCTCCGGCCCCCGTGCCGTATACGGCCCGCGAGAACATTTGGTACGGCCCTCGAGGTAATTTATAAACACACGCAAAAAAGAAAAAAATTCAAGAAATCTAGACCGCCAAAAAATTAAACAAGCAAGTGCCTGTTTTTCCTGGCCAAGGTCAGGGTACTTGAACACAACACAAGCCTAATGTGTCATCACGTGGTATATGTCTCGTCTGACAGGGGTGCAGTTCTGACGGAGAGCACCAGAACGCAAATTGAATTCACTCACAAAACCTTATTATTTATCTTTGCTGCACATCCAACCTATCGTTTCACATCGTGAGGTAACACAGAATCGAAGGGTACCCTCATTATCATCAATTATACGAAATCGCAGAGATAATAACAAGAACAGACATCAAAACATATGACGCTAGGTAGCTAAAAACGCTAACATGGCTCACCTGTGTCGTAGTCTGGTCAAAAGTGGCATTAAAACGATAAAAACGCTGCTGAAGTTAATCCATAGGTTAATCCAATGTGTCTGTTTCCCTTTGAAATGATTTCTGATAATCCATGAGCAATAAATCTGCTTTTCCGTTTCCAGATGTCAGAGCGAGAGATAGGTTTGGGAGGCGTGTGGCGCAGTGGACTTGTGCGTTGGTGTTCGGATCAGGGTTCAAACCCCAATGCAGTCAGCATGTTGTTGTGTCCCTGGGCAAGACACTTCACCCCAAATTGCTCCTGTGGGGATTGCCCACACTATTGATTATGTAAGTCGCTTTGGATAAAAGCGTCTAACAAGTAACATGTAATATAATGTTTGCTCTGATGCAAACCTGCATGCGCAAAGCCCCCACCTTTTTTTGTTAACATTTGTGTGTATGGGGAAATTCCCCTTCGATTCCATTGGCTCTAACGGTCAGAAAGAGATGTCAATCACCAAAATCGACCAATGGGTTCCAGAGAAACGGTAAAACCCCCATTTCCACCCAAATCACCTCAGAGGTGGATTTGTTTTGCTAAACCTCTCTAAAAAGGTAAAATGTCACTTGTTTTGCATCAATCTTGATACAGGGTACTTAGTATATTTTGTACTTTGGATTCCTAAAGCTTTTAGTCTACCTTACCATCATCCAAGGGTGGTTTTCACTATAAGTAAAACAAACAAATTTCGACGGACACTATAATTTAAAATGTTTTACTATGTTCAATCTGAATCTTCTTTAAAATAAAAAACATCTGTATTGATTCTGAATTGTTCTACATCCAACTCACAGGTTTATCATTACTTTGAGAAAAAAGATTATTAATTTAACCCTTTTAGACGTGTAGTTATGGTTATTTGTTCTGAAAATATCATTTTCGAGCCTGAGACCTGAAAAACAGGCTCAGTGCTTAACAGGTTAAAGAGCAACTTCCAGGTTAAAGACACCTGTGAATAAATGTGTAGGAAAATGATGTATAAACTAGATTTTCAAAAATATATACATAAATATACACTACAGTGACATCTGGCGTCGTTTTTGTAAGACATTTTTACTTCCGCATCAAAAAAGCCTCCCCACGTGACCTCCCGCGTGTGACGTAACAAAGGGGAAACAAGGGGGAGAGCGGCCGGTGTAACGTATTAATAAACATGGATCCCAATGCTTGTTTCGACACAGAAGACACAGAAGAAGTTGAACATGTATATTCGAATGCATATGACGGACCACAACCTTATAATTATG